GAAAATGCTGAACAATTTGAATACTTGTTATTGATTCATATTGTAAACATTAGGTGAATAGGGTTTCTACTCGTGTTTTAATTTTTGTAAAGTCACTATATATTAAAATTTATTATATTATTATGTATGTATGTACATACATATATATATGTATGTATATGTAAATAGTATGTCGTTAGGTATAGTATGGAAAGGGCGTAACTCACCTCGTCGCTGAAATACAAAAAGCCGTAACTAACAAAAAATCGAGAATGCACTTTTTAATTGATTAAAATGCGTTTCATCGAATTAAAAGTCCCTACATCGCTTTATGCAGTAAAAATTTTTAGTTAGTTGTGGATTTTTCGCATTTCAGCGACGATGTGAGATATGTACGTCCTTTCCATACTAAATATACTAACGATGTATATTTGCCCACGTGTTTGTTTGATAGCACAAAATTGCTGCTCAGATACGGAGCGTTTTTAAACTAATTTGCTCTGACGGATTCTAACATAGGCACATACATATGTACATACATATGTACAAACATAGGCGCAACCAAGTGGGGCTTTGGGGTTTCAGCCCCGGTAAAAATGTTTGAAGTAATGTGGTCAATTGTATCATGGTAAGCTCTCTAACAACTGGATAAGCGTATCTTCTTTAGAACATAACTATGTGTATATAATTGGTTATATGCTTACAGGTATTTGAAAGTTTTTCTCATTATAATGTATAATTTCTATTATTTTTTTGTATGTACATATTATTTCTATACTTTTTAACTCCCTTCGAATCAATTTGGGTCGCTTGAAATGATGTTAGCTTTTAGCTCTTTATTTTAAACAAAAAGATAGAGTGATGAATAGAGTCATCAAAAACTTATTTCATAGTTTTGTTTATTTTCTGACTAACTATTCACTTGAATTGGAGCATTCTTGTAAAATATTTCTTAGTACATTTTTTCGAGAATTTTTAGCCAAAAATTAACTCCTTATGATAATTATAACTTAGATTTTTGAATCTCAGTCTATCCGACTCTAAATTGATTCATGAATTCTTTGTGACATCAAAAATCGATAACTATAAAAGCAAATGTGGAAATTTATTTCCAAAAGACGCTAAAAATAGTTCAAATTTCTTTAACATAATGTTGTTAGTTTAGACAGAATTTTGCATTCAATAATTATTCGAGGAAGTCCTCATTAGGGCTTTTTTATTACAATGAATAGAAACGACATAATTTATAAACATGTAAATTTTTCGAATCTTGATTCATATTCAAAGAGAATTCTTTGGTGGGTGCGCCCCTGCGTACAAATGTGCTTAGCTATGTAGTACAGTGATGGTCATAGAAGTCGACTACAGAGCACCCAAATTTTATTGATTTAATTTTGGTGTTGTTGGCTATATAAATGCCGCATTATTTACGCTTCGAAAAAATCCTATATTATGTGTAGATTTTATCGTATTACATTAAACGAACGGCTCTAAGATTTTGATGAAATTTTGTACACAAATAATGTGTTAGATTTTAAAGTTATTTGAATAGGCACTATCTCCAAAAAGACTCGTATAAGGTTGCCACCTATTCGAAATTAGTTTCAAATTAATTAAATCCTCATATTATCAAATGAAAGTTGTTTTAAATATCCCTTATTCAAAAATATTTTTAATAGGGTTGCCACCTATTTTGAATCACATACTAATTTAATTTTTTGTTTAGAAAGAAAGATAAAATATTACTATTTATGGGTACCAAGAGAAGGTTCTTAAACAATGCTTTCCCTATATACAAAACGTTATCCCTTAGGATTCTAGTATAAGGTTGCCACTTATTTTCGATTCTACACAATTTATCTAAAACGTCGCAATATGGATATCAAATGAAAGGTATTGCTGAGAACTTTGGTTAGAAAATATTTTAAATCAGGGTTGCCACGCTTCTTTGTAATAAGAATTTTTATTTTGTTAATTTAAATTAGCATTTTTTATGTATACACAATTCGTAAACGCTCAAAATGTGTACCATTCATTCCAGCGCATTTCGGAATAGGGTTGCCACCTAATTTTTGGAGTAAGAAATTTACTTAAAAGATATCGCAATCCATTTTTTTATTTCCAAAATATTTTTTTAAAGCTATCCAATTCTTAAAAACTCTAATAAGTATATGCACTCCGGGCAAAGCTTGGTCAACCTGGTACTTGTTATTTAATTCTCTAACAATTACGTATACGTATTTTGACTACTTAGACCAGTTGTACTAATTTAAGTCGCCACCACTTTGAAATACATATGTCTTGTACGTATATATGTGGTATGTGTATGCGAATTCTAATTAATAAAAAAATTCATAAACACAAGTCATTTAAAATAAAAACTTTAGAAACGCATTGTTGTTGCTGCTTAAATCATTATACATGTACATATTTAATAGAAAATCTGTATAAATATTTACATACCTATGAACATATGGATGTATGTATATGTAGATATGTATAGAAAGAATTAGTTGTTTGCACATGCATACATATCCGCCCATACTAACATGTCTGTATTGAAAGTAAGAATCTCCCCTACAGCAAACCAAACTGGTTCAGAACTTGCGCTAAGCTAGCCTGAAAAGGGACGGTACTGGTTCTTCTACCTGGTTCTATCCCAACTCAATGCTTTCAACTGTCATTTTTAACATAGCGATGTCCTACGAAGTGACAATTGTTTCGCTCTGCAGAACTTTCGAACTTGTTCTGAGCTCACTCTGGCTTAGATGGTTCTTAGACAGTTTATATAACAACAGTTCCTAGATAGATCAAAAAGAGTCGCCTCCGGGCTAGAAGAAAATGTGGTTAGTTTTGAGCTGGTTCTAAGAAGTATAGTATAGAGCCTTTTCTTTAAATACTTTAATTAAAAAAGCACGCATACAATTTGTAAATGAGCATGAAATGATATTATAATTTTGGTCCGATGTTTGTAAGTACCAGAATAAGAAGAGATAGATCAGATCATTTAAGCAGCTAGGAACAAGAAATTTTGCACTGTTGTCACCCATTATCAAAGTAATACTTTCAGTGAAAATGGCGAATATCGGGTCACTACAACCTATAGCCTCCATACAACTGATTGTTCATATATGAGATTCTTTGAAAAAAAGCCGAAAAATTGACATCCCTAGTATACGCATAATTCAATAATACAAAGTTCGATAAACTGACAGTTGTCTCTCTCGCATCGCTCCCTTAGCAGTAGCACCGTGTTGCTTCTTTGCAAATTTACTTGGAAAAAGTGTAGCTTTGCTGTGAAATAGAAGTATAAGCTTTTGTGCAATATGTTTATTTGTATATGCGTATGAAGCACATTTAACTGATTAAAATATAAATTGTTTTTAAATTGGATGTCTACATAAATCGCATAGTAGTTTTATTTTAATTTTGTGTCCTTTTGCAGTTTTTATACAGTTAAATGGCACACAAATTACGTAATTCACCGTGATATATTAATATTTCGTTAAATATTTCGTTTAAAATGCCAGATTTCCTGCAAATACATTAGAATTTACAAAAGGAATTTCACTACTAATTGCCTACTTTGCGTACTGTTGCTAGTACCATTTTCACAACAAGGGATAGTATTCTTCCCCTTTCTCTGTCCTTCGTAAATGCAACCTTTTGTAAGGGAGTGTCAAACCGCGGCTGTCAATAATTATCTAACGTTGGCGTTGCTCGCGAGAAAAAATTGTTCATCTATGATCAGTGCTATACAATGCTATAACAATTCACAAATATTTTTAAAACATAAAATTATCTAAACTCGTAACTGTAGTTAAGCGTTTGGTGGAAATGGGCTGTACAATACAGTCTTTTACATAAAGTATTTTACATAACATAAAGTCAAAGCATGAAACCAGCAAATGCATCGTTAAACGATAGATACAATTTACTTTTACAATTTTGTAAATGGGTCATGTTCGTATTTAATCGCAAAATTTTAATTAGTCCTGTGAAATTATTTTCTTTCACCATTGGTCCCTACAGGTAAAAATGATCCAAAACCCTGATTTGTGGAAAAATTGGTGATTTCCTTAAATCGCTATGTTGCGAGCTCATACTAAAAGTTCTGAGTTGTCAAGGCAAATTGTTACATTAAAGAGCCCTTTCAATTTTTGGCTCTCTTAAGGTGTAGATACATACATATGTATGTATGCAAGTACATAAGCATTTTTTTTGTTTTGTGCAATTGTAAGAAGGTTCAAAGTTATAAGTTTTTATAATAAGTTAGTATAAAAAACTTAAAAGAAAAGACTTACGTGGAAACAAAATTACCAAATTGAAAAAATTAACAAATTACTAAACTCGTTCTAAAAAGAAAAAAATTACCAGTTTTGGTAAAAAATTACCAAAGCGGCAACGCTGCCTATGATCTTAAGTGATAAAGGGGTACATGGCTTAAATTTATCAGTTTATCCGCATTTTTTCATCAACGCACGTTGGTTAATAATTGCACAAAATCGTTTATTTATTATTTAACTTATCTGGCTAGTTACGTTTCATTCTTACCTTCACCATTGTGTTCATTTGCGTTTTATGTGTTCTTAGCAAAAATTACCTGCCAGGGTTGAATTTTGCTGAAATGTAAACGTAACGTTCCAGCTCTGCATCCCTTTTGCAGTAGTTCAGAGATAGTTCTGAAATTTGTAGGGCGGAACTAGCGCTTTGCCAGACTTTCTCTAAATTTTGCTGCAGGGTCTTTATCTGTTTAATTTTTTTTTCTATATTTTTGATAATAAAGCTGCATCGATGCCTATGTACCTACAGTACTTGAATTTTTTCTTGCAAAAAAATTAGTTCTCACTCGCCTATTGCATTGTTTTTTTTTTTGCCAGATAATAGTAATTACATGAGGGGATACAAAACCTTTTGTTCCCTACCATGAAGAGCGTGCTACAGACTTAAACGAAATGAGTTTCTCTAATTATTTTTTTTTTTAATATCTTGTTTTTAAATGGACATATTTTTTTTTTCAGTCGCCAAATTGGCTCAAGAACAAATCGCCCCACTCGTAAAGAAAATGGATCAGGAACACAAATTTGATCCATCTGTGGTGAGTGCCGTTTTCGAAAATGGTCTGATGGGCATGGAAGTCGATCCCGACTTGGGAGGCAGCGGTTGCAATTTTCTGACTACCATTTTGGTTGTCGAAGAGCTGTCCAAGGTTGATCCAGCCGTTGCCGCTTTCGTCGACATCCACAACACTTTAGTTGTCTCATTGATGATGAAAGTGGGAAATGAGGAGCAGAAAAAGAAGTATTTGCCGAAATTGTCGCAGGAATATGTAAGTACCGGTATGCACATTTTGTAGTATGTAAGAAAGTCTAAGTTCGGGCGGAGCCGAACATTAAATACCCGGCGCAAGTATTAAACATATGTTTTTCACCATTCCGAAAGCTACCGCTACATAGTAAGCCGGGGTGTATCTATTTTGAGTAAATTAGCGTCCTTAAATTTCGAAATATTGGAGTTTCAAGCATTTCTGAAATTTACCGTTATATGAAAAGTGGCCGTAATATTAGTCTGATTTCAATAATTTTCAATTTTTTGTGTTTTATGTGACAAGCACAATAACCATATCGAGTTTGGTACAAATTCGTAGAACGGTTACAGAGATACATATATGTATGTGATCATAAGTGGGCGGTGCCACGCCCATTTTCCAAAATTTTATCATAAACGTGTTTCTTGGTAAAGAAATGTTGCAAGCATCAATTTTGAATAAATTAGCTTCGGCATTTACTGATTTATCGAAGATTTCGTATTTCTCTAAATTACCGTTATATGGGATGTAAATTTTCTGCCATTTGGTATGTTGTACCAAAACTAATAATCGTGCCAAATTTGGGAGACATTTGTGGAGCGGTTCCCAAGATATACACGTGTATTCATAAGTGGGCGTGGCTACGCCCATTTTCCAAAAATTTATAATATTCATATTTTTCGTCTAAAAATTATTGTAAATATCAATTTTGAATGCATAATATTAAGTAGTTACTAAAATATCACAGTTTTCGTATTTCGGGGGTAATTACTAGTCATCTATAAACAGAAAAAACAAAAGAAGTGTCCGTGCACTAGGATTTGAACTCGATCCCAACAAGTTGGTAGGCGAACGGGCTACCATTCAGCTATGGCCGCCGTCGAGATAGCGTGGAAAAAAGACGTACTTAAATTTGTTCTCAAACTATTTTTATATGTGACTTCAAAACTGCCGCCTCCGAGTGGGAAAATGAAATGTTTGGTAATGTAAAAAGTAATGTATAGCCCTACATATGGACGCTACACATTACCCACGTAGTCGTTAACCTTTTCGTGGTAGAAAAAGGTAAGGCATTCTCCATGAAGTGTAAAATTTTTTTTTTGCTATTTTGTCCCCTCATCGTATACTCGAATACGTGCTTTATCTCTAAATACCAACATTTTTAGACTACAATCAAGTAAAAAGTATTAATTTTTACTGTGCGTTATTTCCCTCTGTGTAGGTTGAAGAACGCATTGATTTTTGTGCAAAATACCGTTGCTGCCAATACAAAGTTAGGAGACAGTTTTGCAAACAACTCAGCTATGCTAAAAGTATTTGCTACTCATTTGTTTATTTGTTAATCTAAACTACTTAGTCTTAAAAGTATTGATGTATATATTAACGTATTTTCTTTTTAATTATTTTTAGGCTGGTAGCTTTGCCTTAACCGAACCTGGCGCTGGTTCTGATGCGTTTAGCTTGAAAACCGTTGCTAAGAAGGACGGCAATCATTACGTTATCAATGGTACGAAAATGTGGATTTCCAACTCGGACGTGGCTGGTGTATTTCTAGTCTTCGCCAATGCCAAACCAGAAGCGGTAAATCGCAAAAAAAATCTAAATCAATATTTAAATAATCAGCTTTGGCTTACTTTATCTTCCAGGGTTACCGCGGCATTACCACATTCATTGTTGATCGCGACACACCTGGCTTGATCGTGAATAAGCCCGAAGACAAGCTTGGCATTCGCGCATCCGGCACCTGCATGATCACCTTCGACAACGTACGCGTGCCCGAAGAGAATATACTGGGTGTATTTGGCCATGGCTACAAGTATGCCGCCGGCTTCTTGAACGAGGGTCGTATTGGCATTGGCGCACAAATGGTGGGTCTTGCCCAAGGTTGCTTCGATCACACCATACCCTACCTGCTGGAGCGCAAGCAATTTGGCAAGGAGATCTACGATTTCCAATCGATGCAACATCAAATAGCCACTGTGGCGACGGAAATCGAAGCGGCACGTTTGCTTACCTACAACGCCGCACGTCTGCAGGAGCAGGGAAAACCTTTCCTCAAAGAAGCTGCAATGGCCAAGTTCTTCGCCTCGGAAGTGGCACAACGCGCCACCATCAAGTGCATTGACTGGATGGGTGGTGTTGGCTTCACGCGCGACTTTCCACAGGAGAAATACTATCGTGATGTGAAGATTGGCGCCATCTATGAAGGTACCACCAACATGCAGCTTAGCACCATTGCTAAGGTGATCAAGAAGGAATATACCAAGTAAAATGGGGCAAATAAAGTACAGGATGCCATCCAATTGTGGGCTTAGTTGTCCATTGCGAGCAGTTAAGTGTAATGTCGTAACAGATACCAACAGTGCATTTATTAGGGAATCGACCGTATGCTATTTTGTAAATTGGTTGTCCCCACATACATACGTCTCTATTGCCATTATTAGGTTTAGTAGCTGTGTTTTCACCAATTACACTCGCGCATGCTGTTAATTCCAGAAATAGTTACATATGTACATATTTACATGAATTTAAAATTTGGAACCTGAGCATTTATGTAGATCATAGCTAGTGTATTTTTGTTTTAAATAAATATTTTGTATTTTTATTAAGCTGTTTTTAAAATTTTGTATAAGTGAGATATATACAAAATTTGAGCATTTATTAAAAAATTAAAATATGTATATGTGCGAATGAAAAAATAAAGTCAATACTTTTTAACGCATATTTTATGTTTTTTTTCTTATATTAGTCTACAACAAAAATATGCTGTTCAATGATCGAAAGAATTTAAAAAAAAAATACCGATCACGTGTTATTGCTTTGGGAAAAATAAACGCTTGATGCGCGACTCTTAAGCAGGGATCACACGATTTGTACATTTCATGTACGATTTTTAAGAAATGTTTTACATTCTAAGGTATCTACATAGATAGGTGTTGTTACGATCTCAGTATATCTAGTAAAAAAACTGTGGTGAAGTCCTTTATGGGGATAAAGTTTCCAGAGGTGAGAATTTCTTACAGGCACGATTGCTCTTCAGCACTAATGAAATAAACTTTAGAAAATATTAGAATAAGGTTTCGTTTAGTGCATAAATTTTACGATAAACACACAAGTTTGATGATAAATTTATTACAAAATAACATTGCTTATCGGAACGATCTGAGCGCTGCCGCTGAAAAATTGCTTTTCGTACAAAAATACCCCTAGCCCTTGTTGTTGCTGTATCGCATCGAGGTGAATTTACATTTCCAAGTGATTTGCTTGTCGTCGCCTGGGTAAAAGATTGTCGTAAGCGCCACTTTGACGATTTTTGGTTCTAGATGCAGTTGTATATTTTTATATAAGGTCTTTCGATTGGTGTCATCAGTTTTTAGATATCTCCTATAGTTCCCGAATTATTGACTACAACTTTTTCGATAATTTAGTAAAAATTTAGCTGGTGATGCAGTCATATTAAACTAATTAATATCTTAAAAATGGCGTTCTCCATTTTTGCATATATCTCCTCTTGTTTCCGAGATATTGAATAAAAAGTGTCGTTAATTTGGTAGAAAATTTTGATCACATTTTGTCGTATTTCATACAAAGTGGCTGCCAAATTGTGGACGATTGATGCTTACGACAAAATTTGACTAAAGAAAATCCTTCATAAAGTCAAAACTAATTAGCAATAAACATTAAAAATTAAATAATTTAAGAATTTTGTGAACTAGTAACATTTTCAGAGACTTTGGAGAAAATTTAATGTAATTAATTTCTATCGCGATTTCCCACAACCTGCCGATATTAACATACGACAATCTTCTACCCAGGCGACGTTGTGTAAAAAGGTAAACAAAGAAAAAAGTAATTTATTTTCCAAATTTATAATTTTATTGATGTAAATTTATTTATTTTAGGTACATAGCAAGGTGAATGTTCCGTGAAGATTTAAGCACTCGAAATTAGGGCATCATTGATGGAATTCAAGTTTTTTATATTTGAACTGTGCCCTAGATTATCATCTTAAAGCATAAACAGACGCCAGCGTTGATTCGGATCAACTCGGGAGTTAACTGCACCCAAACTGATACCCAAACGCAAACTTTAAAAACTTCGTTTTTCACAGATTTTGGTAGGATGTATTAAGATACTGCCTCAATAAAAAATTTAAAGTATTGGTACTAAAAACAGAGTTACAAGGCACTTTTTAAAAGCCCTACCTATTTTTGATACTCTGATTTTTTTTTTATAATATTTAGGGCAATTCATCTAAACGCGTAAATGCCTGGTAACTACGTAAACCTCATACATTTTCTTAATTTTGTGTGGAAAACCGGTTTATTTACGAGGTTTACACAGTTACGAGGCATTTGCGCGTTATTGAAATTCTCAAATGAACGAATTCGAGGAGAACATTGAAAACATAATTTTTTCATTTTTTTAATTTTAGTTAGTAGAATATTTTTGGCAGTCTTTATTAGGTTCATTTGTAAATTTGTTCATTGTTCATATACATATATAGTTATCGTTCTATCAGCGGATTTCTTGCTTTTCTATGCTTTTTCAGTGCCATCGGTTGTGGTGAATGCGGCGAGGAGTATATTCACTACAGTAATAATGAAAACGCCGCAGAGCAAGAATTCTTTTATATAGAAGTAGCAGCTATCAGTTCTCTTCACGTGGCGCTATAGGGAAAATATAAGTTCATATAAAATTTGGGTTCACATTAAATTACAGAAATGTCAAGCTAATATTTTAATTTTTTTTTTAAAGTATGTATGTGTGCATGTACACACATTTGTATATGTACCTTAAAAATTAGCCCAACACCAACGGCCACTTGCAGCACCAAGGACAACCCTACCAAACACAGACTCATGTAATAAGTGCTCGCTTTATCGTTGTATGTAAGCAAAAACCGCAACTGATTAGCATTCGCTGACAAAAGTGCAATATCCATTAAACCTTAAATTCAATATTTAAATATGTGTAAAAACAGTATTTTTAGATTTTCTGTACACTTTCGTATACGCTTCATGGAGTTGTGTTTGCTCACCTTCTGCTAAGTTTTTATTTCCGGCATAATTCATGCTATCGATTCGGCGTAGTTTTTCGTTGGTGGGTGGAGCAGTTGCTTGATCATCTCCTATAGGACCATCGATCTTATCAACCCCACTGGTCACACTGATCACAGTCTCCGCAGCACCTTCATTGCCTTCAATGTCGATTGCTTCCTTCGAAGGCTGATCTTGTAAGGATGACTTTTCGGAAATACATTCGGCTGCAGCAGGCAGTTGTATTACTTTGAAAGCTATATCTTTCTTTGTCACTTTTAATCTATTGTCCATTTTTATTTTAATTTGCGTGCTAAACCAAGTACTTAAATTTTTATTTATTTTTAACTAAATTTTGTCACACTTGAAATGTATTTGATCGTTGTTGGCGCTTCGTCGCTGGATACTTGAGTAATTTGTGATTCTTTCAATTTAGTTTAAAACCCCTTGACGATTATTGTGTTGTATAAATGCATTTGTGCGTGCGTAAGTATTCGTTGTGGATTTCTTGTAATTTTTTGCGGTTTGGTGTTGAATGATAACTATTTGGTTATCATTTCAAATCGCCTAAAATTATGCAATGAAAGAGTAAATCTACTTCTAGTACTACTTTTGCTATAGAGATGGGTATGGGGGAAGCTTCGTTAAATTGAAGATAATCGATTTGATAGTTATATTGTATCGTTATATCGAAGATTATCGATTTGAAAGTAATTTTACGAAATTTCGACGAGTTTTAAATGCGGAAATGGAGTTCAATGAAAATAGATAATTTTTTTTTTTTTTTAAAAGTTAGAGAAAAAACAAAATAACACTTTTATTGTATCATTTCTTATTAGCTATGCACTGGACTCAATTTCATTAGCTTATTCGCAAAATTTCTATTCTTTTTTTAATTCCGCGTATGTACAATGGGCGAGAACAATGCATGGACTTTGTCTTTATGCTTATCGTAAAAAGCTGAATTTTAAAAAGATCGGTTCGCATACTCATATGTTTACTACTTACATATGTATATGTACATATGTAGGGTTGAGATTCTGCTGCAGAGGTTAGTGATAGCGAAATGTTTACAAATAAACATATTTATATTCATATTTCTGAAGCGACGTAAGTATGTGTGGATGCGTGTAAGTTACAGCGGGCCATTTTCTTTTTCGACTACGCGTTTATATCCGAGAAGGATTCTACGTAGGGTTACCAAGATCTTTGTAGTAATTTTTCAAAAAATCAGAAAAAATATAGTACACTTTAAAAATATCTAGTATTTTATTAAAAAAATGAAAAACGCCTTTTATGTATACATAGTTTTTCTTTCTTATGCATTTCTTTAAAAAAATGTATAACTTTGCATTTTTGACAGTTTTTAACAATTCATGGTTAACTATGAAAGTATCATGGCCTATACGGCAATCAAAATTTGAACTTTTATAAATCAAACGCAATTTTTTTTATTAGTGAGGTAGTCGTTTGGTTTCTCTGGTCACGCGATTTCACATTCATAATAGAATTTTTTTTTCTGTGAATGCCGAAGTTGCAGAAAAAGAGAGTAGAAATTAAATAATTTTAACTAAATGTGGTAATTCATTCACAGTATTTTTAATAAGTAATTTTTAAGCAAAAAACCAAACCGATTTCAATTCTCATAAAAAATTTAAGATTATCATTAATTTTTTCTAGATCCAATGATCGGATTTAAACCAAATTAGTATGGAACCACCTGTTACACCTTTCCTTTAAAAATAATTATAAAAAAGAATTATAGAAATCGGTTAACGTGGTCCAAATACATCAAAAAATGAAATTTTTTCGACGAATAGATAACTTTTCTCCTTTTTGTGAAGTCAGTTTAAAATGATGCCATTGACCTTTTATTTTAAAGAACATTTATTTTAGAATTGTTATTTCCCTATAAAGGTCATCCATTGTAACACACATTTTTTCTTGCAAATCACTGAAAAATATATATATTTATAGCTGAAGAAATATACTATTTTTGCATACGATATTTTTCCAACAGTACGCCAACTGAATAAAATTGTAGAATTCTATATAATTCTACGTATAATTCCGAGCAAATCTGCTGAAAAAACTATGGGTCTAAAATCAATTGGCGGTATGCCAAATCGCGAAAATAGGTTTCGAAGAAAGTGTGAAATGGATTCATCATACCAAAAAAAAACCTTATAGCATGTTTTTATGTAAAATTTCAACACTTGCGACACTACTGCAAAATGTTAAGATACCTATTTTCGAAATTCCACAAACTCCATCTGAATCTTTACAAAATTTTTGGGTATGCAGTTTTCTAGCCCATACAAGTTTTGTCTAATGAAGTGGAAGTTTCAACCTGCTTAAGAATCGCGCTGATTTTTGATAATTGATTTTCGGAGACTACTTTTGAGGTTTTTTTTTATATAACAAGTGTAACTTACAAAAAATGGCGTTGCTTTTTTGAAATTTTGTTGCTAACCGTCTCCCGCATTTTGTTTCATAAGAAATTCATGCTTAGGTATATGGAAAAAGTCCAAAAATCCGTCATAAAAAAAAAGAATTGTAAGAAATCAACAGGATTTTTTCGCCGTTCGAAACTTTTACTTCATTAGACTAAAATTGCCTACCCAAAAATGTTCTAAGGAATCAGATTAAAAAGTTGAAATTTTGATGAAAATTTGTGGAATTTTCCTAAATTTTGTATAAAGCTTGTAACTGTGATTTATGTGGTTTTTGTTAAAACTTGAACGGTATTTCTATAGAAAAATAACAAAAAAAAAAAAATAGCTCGAAAAACCTTACGAATATATATTTAAAAAAAAATCAACACGTGGTCATCTCTTTGATTCACGTAAAACTGCGTACTTAGTTTTTCTCTCTGACGTCAGGATTTTTTTTAAAAGGACTTTGGAGTTTACAAAATATGGTTATTTCAAATATTTTTTTCAAAAATTCAGTGCAATCTAGTATAAAGATAAGGGTATCAAATATAAGAAAATATGCTGTAGAATTAAAACAGAATAATTTTTTTGGTGCATAAGGACGAATGGGTACGGAAAAGTCCTTTAAAAATTGTGTCCTTAAAAATCCTTGAAAATTTGCACATCCAAAGGTTAATCAAGTCAACCCAATAACTCAAAATTGCTAAATTTTCACATTCATGCTTCAGGCATAAGGGCGACGATATGTATTTACTTCACATTTATTAATTTTTTATACGCCTGTCCTACATATCTTCGTAGTAAGAAAATAGTAGCCATATTTCGACACCTGAGTGGAAGATCGACCTATCTCGGCAGCCAGTCCAAAAACGTCCTATAGTTACCGTGTAATTTGGTAACGCAGAGGACAATATAATTAATGTTTAAGTGAGTTTCCCCGTGTGGGGTCTGTCACAACAACTTGACCTAACCTACCCGAAAAGTAGGATTTTGTATGTATGTATATACATAAGAAAATATGACATAAATAATTATATAAATCTATAATATATGTATATACAATACTATGCTAAAGCTGAATATACTCAAATAAACCGCAAGCAAATAAAATACATTTTTTTCTTATGACTGCAATTCTGATTACAATGCAATTGCCATAAAAAAAATCATACAGATATATATTTAGTTATTTATGTATTATTATTTACGCCTCTTTAACCACTGCTTCATCGGCTATCTGTAAACCAACCCTGGCAGCCAGTTGTGGGTCGATTGCCATTTATACATACATATATATACATATATATATATATATATATACATACATATGTTTGTGCCAGCTTTGTATCTAGTGTCCTGCTGTCTGACAAGCTCAGTACGAGTTCGACTTTTAGGTGTAGCTGACGTTATTTCCACCACGGTGGTCGACATCGATTTTTCCGTACTTTTCCGGTTAAAAAAAAAGTTCTCTTATATTTCGGAGTGTATGTACATATGTACATCTTAATAGTGTTTGTATGTGCTTAACCGTTTTTTATGCTATGCCTGGGTCATATACACATCTTCAGTAGTTGTGTGAAGCCAGTGCGCCTAAAATATAACACCGGCCAAGGAGTTATTATTAAAGCCATAACGATTTTTCAAGTTTGCCAACCGGATCGATGCGTTCCGTTATTTTCTACTACCACTTTTGTACTTTTCACGAGTACTAAAAATTTGTTGTTGCCCGTTGTCGTATGGCCCTTACATTGCATTGTAGCGAAAAAAGTCCAAATACTGTCGGCAGACGACTCGCACGTGTCGCGAATTGTTTGTGTTAAAGTGCCACTGTGGACTGTGAATAAAAAACTATTAAATTGGTAGTCATTATTATTATTTTTTGAATACTCGTTTTTAGAAACGTTCTGATTCGAGCAAGTAAAAAAAGCAATAAGAAAATGTGTAAATAAGTCAATTCGAGTAATAAGCTTTAATAGTTTGCAAAATGTGGAAAAATCGATAATTACTCTCAACCAACGTTAACAATACCTTGCAGCGGTAAGTACACAAGGCCAAATGGATTGAAAAAATTTACACATTTATTTTGGTGGCACAATGTATATAGTCGTTTAAAGTACAAAACCGCGTATGTGAGGTTGCATAAATTATTTTCTCTTTTTTATAAAGCAATTTTTGGTTAGTATATTTCAGGACGAATGGACAAGGATTGAGCCAAGAGCCTGTGTGAGCAAATCAAATTTTTGGCAGCCAATGTCAGTTACACGGTTTTGCAGAATGACGATACGCGATTTGGTACTTTAAACGACGATATATCTAAGTTAAGTGTATCTAATGTTAAGTATACAAATACTAAGCCCAACAACAGCATGGAAAGTGGCAAGGGAAGTGCACGAAATATTTAAAACAGCGCATCCAAATTGCAGCTGCAAAGGGAGACTGAAATAAATTGATTCAAATTCCGTCACAAACACTTAGCTTGGCAAGAACTACAGACTATTAGGTTTTTAGTAAGCTAAGCTAACTTATTAAGCTACTGAGTTACTTGTAAACAGTGCCTCTACGTAGTAGGGTGTATGGTACTTCACAAACGCATATGTGGCGTCACTTCAGCTCACCATAAGAAAAGGCTAAGCTCTCTTTGAACTATTCGTTGTATTAGAAACTATCTGGATAGTCCGAGTTTCTGTGAGGTTTTTCTAATTTTGTTTGTATCCAACTTAACAAAGTACTTTTTCAAAAAAAAAAATTAGTACGGATAGAAAAAGGGAAGTGCAAGAACTAGGACACAAGAACAATAAAAAAAAAAAAACTGGAAAAGCAGTGTAAGGTGTGCAGAGGATAGATGTTGTTATCGAATAACAGACCAGAAGCCATAGGCATTCAAGCCGATCACTCGTCGACAAATCAATAAAACAACTACAAAAATTAAATAATGAACATTGAATGAAGCCTTAAGGAGAAATTGGTCTGGTATATACATATTTAAGTTGAATATGAGTTCGAATTAAATTCTCGCTATAAATAAAAATAAAATAATACTTTGTTTTATTAAAATTGTTACCTTGAACTCATTAATTTTAAAACACATCCTCTATGCATATCGTCGTTTTAAGTACAAAGCCACGTAACAACAAAATGCAAAACCGCGTATGCGAGGTTGAATAAGTTATTTTCTAGAGAGCAAAAACACTCATATTTGAAAATGGTTGTTTTTTGTTTTTTATAAATCAATCGCATTTCTGGCTAGTATATTTCAGGACGAATAGATAAGGATTGCGCCAAGAGCTTGTGTGAGTAAATCCAATTTTTGGAGCAAATGTCAGTTACGCGGTTTTGCAGAATAACGATATGAGATTTTGTTCTTTAAATGAGACCGGGTCGGTAAGGGTTGATTAAAGAAACAAGTTTATTAATTTACTTATCCCCTTTATTTGGAAATTTAGTTCCAGCGGCTTTTGCAGTCATAAAAACTCGTACCCCTAACTTTGTTTATTGGGAATTTATTGTAATTTTATTTTTCCATTGTCAATTGTAGATTGTGAATTTTTATTGAATACCCATTTCAAAGGGATTACATTTTTTCATTACACTTAAACTTTTAACTAACTCTAGTTGTTATTTGTCATTTGCCAACAAAACATAATGACATATTTACATATACATACATAAGTATACGTTGGCGTTGGTAGCTGAATTTGAAGATATGGTTTTATGTATTTTATGTACTGCCGATGGCGCAATGACGAAACCGGTTTGTCTCCACACAAAATTGACAAGCGAGATATAAATCTTTGTATGAAGAAGAAAATAATCTTACTGCTCTATCTAAGGTTTTTTAGTTATATACAAAGTAATGTGCGAACCACGATTTTGATTGTACCTGGCAAGGACGAACAATTTTACGACCCTAATATCCTCCTCAAGTAAGCTTTTAAACCAAATACAGTTACAGCATTTTTTTCGCGACCCACTGTAATGTGCTTATACATATGTGTACACAAATAAACACTCGAAAAAAAGGAAGAGTCCAGCGCCTTCGTCTTAATCTGCAGGCTGTATCGGAGACACAGCCGCTAAATTTAAACGTAGAAGACGTGGTATGGTAAGAGCATATCCAAGTCAAAAACGAAAGCACACTCTAAGAAAAAGATATCGATAACAAAAGCGATAATGATATCGATAGCAAAATCGATAACAAAATCGATAAAAACATCGATAGCAAAATAATAATAATATCGATAACAAGATCGATAGCAAAATCGATAAAAATATCGATAACAAAATCGTAAAAAAATCGATTACAAAATCGATCAAAATATCGATAACGAAATAGATAAAAATATCGTTTATTATATCGATAAGTTCCGAAAATATCGATAGCAAAATGAATAGCAATATCGATCAGAATTTCGATAATAAAATCGATAAAAAATCCGTTACTCAAAACATACATACGCACACATACTTTTTGTCTCCTTCCCTTACTTCCAACGCATGCACGTGTTTGCAAAACGATGACGAAGTGATTTTGTATGGAAAATCATTTATACCCATACATTTGAAAAAAAAAATAAAACGGCTTGGAAGACATCAACCAATACTTCCCATATACCAAACGAATGGAAAAGTCTTGAATTTTTGATTAGGGAAAACAAAAACAAAATCTTTCGAGCGGTTTTCGAGAATTTTGGAAATAAAAAAAATAATTTTGTGCCTTAAAATACTCGATATTTGCTGAATTTATTTAAAATTTGTACACGATAATATTTCTGCTGCACCAAAGAACCTATGTCCCGACAATGAAAGTTATATCTGCAAATCATAAGTTGGTAGAGCACTTTAAAGGTTCAAAATTGACCACGAAATAAGCCAATATTTACCGTTGTTTCTACAGCAGACACCGAATTGGTTACTTACAGAAATGTATCTGTCGATAGGTTTGGAGTTTTGTCTTTAAAACGCTACACCTTTCTTTGAAATCACTTCACTAGCTCTCGTGCAATAAGCGTTTTCGTAAAGCTCTAAAAATTACAACTACAACATTTGAGCATAGCCTCCATCATATCGAAAGTTAAGACGTACATATTCTACGTCAAAAAGTTCAATATTTAAAATTTTCCTGCTTCAATGCTTTTGAATTCGGTAGCTCAATTTTAAGTGAATTTCAAATCAGACCGCAAGCATTTAAAAGCTAATTACTTTTTTAAAACCGGAAATCATTTTAAAATCCTCAATCAAGTAAATTCAATAGTAATTGCTATGTAATTTAGGTGCAGCTTTAGTAATATTTTTAACTACAAACTTCGCTGTACGAATATTCCTTAATTTCTAAAATGGAAACAGAATTGCAGTAGATACTTGAAATACATGATTTTTGCGTGAGACAGGCTATTTTTCCGCTTGAATGATTTTCATCAAATTGCGCTACACCTTCATAGACATGTTATACATAGGCACAGATATGTACATTAGGCGATAAATGAAATGTACACCTTGTTCTAATATAATATTCACAATTATTTTCATTTATTTTTTTGCATTAATTACACAGGTTCACAAAAAGAATCGATGAAAGGTTTCTTTGACCAAACCTAGTCTGTTATATGTTTTTGGGGTCGCTGAACACGAATCTGAAGTCCGTGTTGCTCCATCACGTCTGGATTTTTTTCTAACTCCAAAAAACATGTCGGATTTTACGTGACAGAGAAAATCCGAGGTGTTTTTTTTTAGCGTTAACGAATACGAATTAAGATAATTAATGCAAACAATTTTTCACCAAAATAATTGTGAATATTATTATATCTTTAGATTATGTATCTAATATAAACAGTTGTGGCAATACAAATATTACCCTAAATACAATTTTTATTGATTTTTGATGACCTAACAAAGCACAGTTGCTTTAATTCTCGGACATGGCATTTAAAATTTTAATTCGTAAAACCAGCAGGTGTGAGATAATTAGATACACATGTACGGGCGTATGCATAGACATACATATGTATGTATGTAAATGTCAAGACTAACACACGGCGTAACTGATTTACATATGTACATATATTGTATTTTTCTGTTTTACATGAATTACATCGTATATACATACATACGTATATACGTATGTATATAAATACATACATATATACATATGTAAATACATATGGACCTCTGCATATGCTTTTATTAGTCCACTCAATTGTGTGGCCCATTGCCAGGTATATTGATTCCCATGACAATCGATTCAAATTATAGCCCAGCGTTAGTTGCGCCGATGTATGCATTGAAAAAGCCATATATACACAGTCACTAACAAGATGTGCTAGTTATACTTATACTTATATCAATATGCAGAAACCTATCCATATATACAACAGAAAATCATATTTATCAATCAGTTAAATCAGCCACATAGAATAAAAGAGCTTTTTGGTGCTAGGGCAAAATTTTTATAAACAAATATTTAGTTTGCTATCCATATCGTAAATATTTGAATTCCTGAGAGCAAAGAAACCCGAACGATGCACACAGGGCCAGAGTGGCCAAAAGTCAAGTATTCAATTTGATTGAAATTATTTTATTATCGATTTATAAATAAATAAAAGTACATAGTTGAAAAGTAAAAGAATGTTAGAATACTGTATGAGAAGTGCACCATTGAAGATAAAAAAATTGTTAAAAATTAGAAATTGAATAGTGGCGAAAATAATTGTATTGGTTCAAATATTCGGACAACAGAGAATACTTTATTTTCTGTCACTAGATTGCCATCACCCGCTTCGCTTAGCCCGGGGGTGAAATAACACAAACGGCAATAACGCAAATTTGTGTTATTTCCCAAATGAATGTGAAATAACACAAATTTGCTTTATTTCATTTCACGTTGAGCAATCAGACCAGCGCATCTCCCCTCCTTTCGCAATTATGCACTGGTGGCATTATAACCATTTAGAAAAAAGAATAAAATAAAATGACAACAGTTCACTTCTGAAACTGCGTTTTAATGTCCAAGTAATGGGAATTATTGCGTATGGTGTTATTGCATGTACCCCACCCATGATGAAATTATACCAGGTGAAGTAATATTCGACTGAGAAAAAAAATACTGACACTGCTTTATCTAAAAGTTTGCCTATAAATTTAACTATAAGGCAGGCGAATGTCTGAAAATAAAGCGAGAAAGCTGTTTTATTACTTCACCTGTTTTTTACGGCATTCATCCCACCCGCTTGTACCGAGTATACGTTCAAATTTAGAACTCTGAGAGTATTTAGGTAAAATTTTACTTATTTTTACATCACTATTTCGTACCACATGTCCGCTCCGTCTTCGAAAACGAAATCCACAGGTCGGATATAGCAAGTGATGATAATGCAGAAATTTTAACTGAAGATAAAACTCAAAACAATATTCTCTGTGTTATACATATGCTGCGAACAGGAACGGAATTATACAAGGTGAAGTAATTAGAGCGAGAAGAAAGATTTTGACACTGCCTGATATGAAAAATTGCCTTTAAAATTTGTCTATAAGGCAGCCGAATGACAGAGAGCAAAGCGAAAAAGCTGTTTTATTACTGCACCGGTTTATTGCGTCATGGTTCCATGTAAAGGTTTAAAGGTTTTCCAGCAATATTCTCAACGTATTAAAAAGCATGCAGACAAAATTCATACAAAAGCGCTATATCCAATTTACTGAGCAATTATTAAAGACGACGCTTTCCCTATATGTATTTTGTTAGACTTTTCATAAGTAAAAATATTTGTTTAATTGTATTTTTGGAATGAACAAAGTTCTTTTTCCTTCTGTCATTAAACTGATTTTGTTACAAATAGTATAAATAAGCAATGGGAAAATAAGTCAAAATTTGTTTTATTTCCAATCTTTGTGGGTAATAAAGCAAAACTCAGATTATGGTATTAATTCCCATTTAAAAGTGAAATAAAGTAAATTTTTGTTTAGTGCCGTTCGTGTTATTTCACCCACCCGCTTAGCCCACATATGAAATTTCTGTGCGCTAAATTAGGGTTAATTTATTTCAATAAAACTCAAGATACCAAAGCTCAGCCAAAACCATAGAATATTTTCAAATGTTTTTTTTAATGCCCTTAATAAAAATATTTTCAAACTAAAACTTTCTTTCTTGTGATGCACTTTTAATTTACTTATTCATTTAAACAGTTAAATTAAGACTTTTCAAAACCATTTCTATCGATATCCATATTTTGATAATTCATTCAAATTATTCAATAGTTTGAATTTAACTTATTAAACAGGTGGCAACCATCTTAAACCTATTTCGACTAACACCCATATTGTGATGCATATGTACATATGAATGTATATGAATAACCCGATTCCCATAATTCAAATTGAGTTTGATTTCTTAAACAGGTGGAAACCCTACCAAATATAGCTTGGAAGTAAAGTCTCTTCAAGTACCATTCGATTTATACCCCTATTATAAAAAATCACTTAGCTTCTTAAAAAATTTTATGTGAATTTAATTTTAAAAAACAGTTGGCAGGCAACCCGCTTCAAATATCCCGGAAAACTAAAGATGTCCAGACATTCACTTTAACTTCTGTATAATTTCATTATGAACCTTAAGTAGACTACTAGCAGGCATCATTTAGGATACAAACACTTTTAGCGGAGAGTTTGGAATTCTTCTCTTGAGACATCTTTCAGTTTCATAAAGTGAGTAGCCTTTACGCATTTCAAACGAGTTCTTGATAGCGCTGACACAAATATAGTCCGGCTCCATGCATTTACTGCATTCGTCCCTATCGGTGAAATTCGATATTAAATACGCCTGGCGTAAGTAGTACGTAAGAACATATTAAGTTTATGAAAAGTTAGTTTTGCACCTTTATGGACTTTCCGTACAGAGATTTTTATAATTTCTGCCGGGATAACCAAATCTATTATTGGGCATATTCTGAAATTCGACTCGATTTGCCAAATATTTTTAAATTATTTCTGATGAAAATAATTTAATGCGAAACTTGTAAACTTTTGGGTAAAAGCCATCGAAAAAATTATCGAAATCGAGTCGATTTCAAATTTTCGAATTTCAGAACATGCCTATATATTTAAATATGGTCACCAAAATATTTCGGAAATATATTAAGATTTACGTGAGCTGGACCGATTTAAAAGCACCTCCAAAAATGGAGTTTTTTATTAACAAAAATAGTTTTTTAAAGAACTTTTTGAAAAAAAATACTCTTAGATTACAAAAAAAGTTTAAGCTTAAAAAAAAATGCATAAAAACATTTAAAAGTCTTTTCAACGGAATCGTAATAAGGAAATTTTTCATGCTGCTATTTAACTTTTTTCAAACGTTGGTTTAAGAAAAACTTGAATATAACTGGGACAAAACTATGCTTATTTTTTATGAAAAGTATTATGAGTATCCATTGTAAAAAATCTCTGTTCGTAAACTTTTTCTACGGCGTGTATCTTCTAGAAGAAACTAAAGTAATTCTTATTTATCTATTCTCTATTTCAGAATCGACAATTACGGTCTTCTTCGGTTTCTCCAGAAAAGAAACAATTAAACTATACTCTTAAATCAACGTTCAAGAACTTTTTACAATTAGTTCGTAACAAAAAGTAATCGAGTTTAAAGAAATTATATACACACATACATTTGCATAAAATCAATACAGCTCGTGAAACTTAATTCTCTCAAGATGTCTGTGATGACGCCAGAAAAATCGCTTTTAGCGTACTTTAATCACTTTATAGTGAGCAACTTTTCATATTTACGTGAGTATCCATATGTATGTTATAGGGCGTTCCATTCCTAAATGGACGGGGTTCACACTTCATGTGTGTGATTTGTTTAAAATTTGTAGGGTTGATCGATAAACATTAGGGTGGGTCAATTAAAAAAGTTGATTCATATCCTTGCGATTCTGGTACTATGGACCATAACAAACATTTTCGCCCAAGGAACCATACCTC